GGGTTTACTCTGAGTCAGTCCGGCAGGTTCAGGTGTTCAGTTACTGACCACCCAGGAGCTTAGGGACACGGCCAGTGGGTGCAGGTTTACTGTGGAAGGTGAGAACGCTGTATGGGGGCAACATGGATCAACAGATTCAACAACCAGCAGCAGCAAGGCCCATAGTTGAGGTTCTTTTGTCCTGCTTCCTGGGTGATGAAACCAGATTGCAGAACTCTGCTGTCTTCAATTTGATCAGGATCAAGCTCCATGTCATGTGCACATTAGAGAAAATTGTTTGTTTTGAAAGTGTCAGTATTAGTTTCCGATCACAACACTGGTTTCTGGTTTATCTAGTAGGACCGGTGATGGTTGTTTTTAAAATTCTAACCTGAAGGTCATTGATTATTTTTGTCGTTCTACAGAAATCAAGCATCATTTTGTGTAGTAGTTTATTTTTTCTACTGAAGTAGTTCACCCAAGAAATGTGTAAAGTCTTTTGCAGCAAAGAGTCTGCCAAAATAGAAGCATATTAATCTTTACTAAAAAACTGTTTTGTAAATTTCACAGTTAAAATTTTTCAAAATTAAGTTAAAATCTTTCTCCTCCGTGTCTTGAAGATGTTTTTTTAGCTGAGTACCCTTTACATGCTCCATTATTCTTTTTATTGAAAGTGGATTTTATTTTTGATTTTCTGATCAGTAACAAATTATTAATGAAGTTACAATACAGCCTTTGAGTAGAATTTTGCATAATCATTTCAATGACTGTTCAAATACGGCAAAAATAGTTTATATACACTTTAATCTGCCATATGTGGAAAAAAGTCAGTATTCCTATTTTCTGTCCACATACAGTATTTAAACAGAGCTCATCCTTGCAGTGTTGACCCCTCGGGACGGGAGGTGTCCTCCCATGGGGACACTGTTACCGGGATGGGTCAGTTACTGAGCCACCTGAGCTGGGGAGAGGAAGAACGTGTTGTCTAATGAAGATACAGGGGAACAAGGGCAGCCATTTTATAGCTGTTACTAACCGCTGCTGATAAAATCTTCAAGTACATGGCATCATGTTTGTATAATGACAACAGTGACCAAAAGGTTAACTTGGCACATACATAATGAATAGATGAACGCACACACTGAGTTTTATTGAAGTATCTGGGCACAGACAAATTGTCCACACTCATTCCAAAGGACAAAAAATAGATATAGTAACTAGTCTAGACTTTGTGATACAGGCTTGGTTCAGTAGATTTTTCTGTTTGTGGGTTGCAGCTCCTGTTTATCAGGGAGGATGAAACTTGACTGTATAGCAAAATTAAGTAGCAAGAAAAATGACTGAGTACTGTCACAAACACAGACGAGGTCATGTTCATGGACATGGTCTTTTGTCTGATGTAGCATTGTAATAAGACTGAATATGAACCTATTATACAAAATAATTATTTTCAACCAGAAATAAATATTCCTTTTATTAGTGATGTGGCTTCTGTGAGGAAATGAAGGAGAGTAATGCTCAGCAGGTGCGAACAGTGTCAGTCTCACCTGCAGGTGGCTGTCTAGTTCTGTTCGACTTCAGTGTTCGGTCCTCAGCCTCTCACACGGACAGGTCGGACTGGTTTGTTTTACCCTCTGAGTTAAACGTGTTTATAGTAAAAGTCTTGACTTCACTAGATTTAATGTAACTCTTTTATTTTAACACCACTGAATGTAATCACTCATAGCTATTTTTGAAATGTACCTTTAACACAGCAAGGACAAACTCTTTGGTGAGCTACAACCTCATAAAAATAGAGTACTTCTGTTTTATATGCGTTAGAGGGTTGCAACTACAATTATTTTCATAATTTGAAAATTAGTCTTCTGTTGATGGATTCATCATTTCAGCAGTAATACTTAAAAAGCAACACAAGCTTTTGTTGTAATGTGGACCAGTGTCATGGTTTTGCTTGCTGTCCCTCCTCAGCCATGATCTCCCTGCATGAACACAGCGTGGGGCTCGGATGAGTGAAGTGTCAGGAGGTCAGAGGTCAGGGGAGCTGTGAGGCCAGAGCTGACAGGGATGACTGTTTACGGACAGAGTGCTGCCAGGAGGAGAAGGCAGCGCAGCACAGAGACACGGTGAAACACAGCGAGAGGGGCAGACGCGCCATATTTACTGTCTTTCCTAGTAAGAGCTCAAGTGCGAACCCGTAATGTGTATGTCGGTTGATGTAACCTCCGGCCTTCAAGGCACACACGCCTGGGTCTGGCCTGATCCTGGCGGCTGACACCGAGGTGTAAAGTCAGGGGACGTGATGGGAAGGAGGGCGCCTCACAGTGGGGTTACCATGGACTGAACAAAGAGACACTGTGAGCGCCTGGGTTTCAGAGTTTGCTGTCAAACCAGCAATTACAAGCTGTTTTTTTTTAAGGCCGTGTTGACTACATGTGTGGGTTTCATGAAGTGTATTGACTTTGTGCCTTTGATAGATGCTGCTGTGATGTTGCAGATGTTGAAATCTGGAACTCTCTCAAGAGTTTCCGTCATTTATGATCCCAAAACATGAATTAACTTCATCTAAGGTGAGAGCATGCAGAGGAATGAGAGCGTAGGCAATGCAGAGAGTGTGGAGAGGACAGAAAATGATTGAGAGAGGGAAAACAGATGGGAGATTGGATTTTAGAGGAGGGCAGGCGGAGGCAGCGTGCTTAGGGAATCTTTTTTTGTGTGTGTGTGTGTATGTCTGGAGAGAATGGGAGCCTCTTATACACCTCACAGCATGAATCTGGCCCGGGCCCTGGCCTCGTCTCGTCTACACAGCGGGATGCTTTCCTGAGCGGGCTGCCCAGGGGAGGGGCACCTGCAGGAGCCTCAAACACTGGTCAAGAGGGAGAGCCTGACGGGCGGGGCGGGGGGATGCCGGCATGGAAAGATGCCTGCTGGTTCCAGGAAACGGACATGTGCTGGGATTTATGAAATCCTCAGGTAGAACACACAGCGATGTTCCCGAAAGAAAATATGTGGCCTTGTGTTTTCCCCGTGGACCCTGCCTGTAATCGCAGAATGAAATCAGAAGCTTCTGTTGCACATGAGGACAAAAGTTATGATTGGAGCAAGTCGGCCGGCGCTGGCAACTACTAACACAAACAACACAAGGTTTATAGATCGGCCGGTCTGCCAACTGAGACAATATTTTCCATCCATTTGGTTGGGTTGACCAAACACCGTGTATTTGTAGTTTATCAGACGCGCAGTCATCCCAGCAGACCTGAGGGAAGACTTAATCATCTGATATATTGAGTTTGAGAAGACACCCAGAACCTGTCCACTGGGAAGACGCAGAAAATCGAACAACAAGCTCTCTGTGCTTTAATATCCACGCCACCGCTGCCCGATGTCTTTTTTGGACAAGTTTCATCTTTACACAAGCTGAACCCTCCATCTTTTCTGTCATTGTGGTATGAGCCCAGGGGTCCAAAACTCACCGAATCTCACATGAGGCCTGGTGATTTGAGCTGTAAATGGAACTCACTCTTTGTCTACAAGAAATTCCTTTCAAACGGACAAATGTGCTGAGAGGGCTTCGGTTGTCTGTGAAATGTGTATGGATATTGCATTAAGTTCACAACAGAGGGCGCCCCCTGTGGTGTGACCGCACAGGGCTCTGGATAATAACTGCAGTGGGAATGTTACGCTCAGAGGTATCCAGGCCAGGTAAATGGAAACACATGGTAGGCAGCATTGATTGTAGAAGGGCCCTACAGCCTCAGAAATAATGGAATTGCAGAAGAGAAAATGGCCCGAGTTCCTTTAACAAATACTTTTGGTATGTGTTTCTTTAACCTGTCTGTATATCACCAGTGCAGTAAAGCCCTGTTGGGCGTCACAGCTTCTCCTGCAGCCCTCAGCTTTTCTTCTCCTCTGTGAATCTTCCTACATGTGTTCACTTTATGCAGAAATAAATAAACCCAAACTCGAGGTTTGTTTTCCTCAAGTATTTCCAGGCTCATTTTACGTCACATTTAACATGAGATCACTTTGGTAAGTGATTACCTGGGGGTTATGTACTCACACAAGTTACTGAACATCAAGTCACAACACAGTAAACCACAGTTAATAGAGCGTAACAGGCTTCTGTGTCATACGGGTGGACAAAGAAAATATCTACGCCCACATATTTCACTTGAGGCCAACTCTGAACAACCAGTGATATAATTAAAAACTTAGTGGATCAGTTCTGACTCTTTTGTGCAAACCTTTCTGAGAGCTCTGGTACACAGTCTTTTCTTTGAGGAGAGTAATATAAGATTTAATATTATTTAATATTAATATTATAATATTTAATATTTGTTTTTATTTATGTTCTCTTTCTATTTATAGTTATTCATAATGTTTTATGGTTAAACTGTAAACCAAGCCTCACTTACGTTTCACTGTCAAGAGTTTGAAAACGACATCTTAGCAATCATTTCCAATTTGTCTTAATAGTTAATATAATCTGCCGATAAACCGATATCAGACATTTTTTACGCCTTAATATTGGTTAGAGACACGCACAAAACTCCATATCAGTCGGGTACATTGAAAATCAGGATCTTAAACCCAGACGCCTCAAGTATACCCCCCTCACACACCAGCCTGATACCGCCCCACCGATTTGTCCCATCATCCCATCGTCCTTACCCTTCTCTGTCAAACACCAATATTTGCTCATCTGCGTCAAAGAGCAGCAGGGTTTGTGATGCAGTACAGTGCAGCCTTTGAGTCAGACAGGCAGACACAGACTGTTGCTACAGGGATACACAGAAACACCAGATAGACACTCAAGAGGTGGGAAGACCTTCTTGAGCTGCTCGCACACACACACACACACACACACACACACACACACACACACACACACACACACACACACACACACGACGTATGAATGCAACTTACATAGTCCCCATTTAGATATATTGTTCTTTTGTGCACGGCCAAACTTTAGTTAAAGATCCAGCGACACTTGTATTACAGAAAGCATAGTTTTTATTCAAGGCTGTATATTATTCATCATTATAAACATCAGTTACAATCAACACAAGGCGAGGCCATGTATAACACGATTCATAATAACAACCTCACTGGCAAACCCAACATGCATGTCGTGATAATAAAAACTGAAATTGTTTTTTAAGAGTCAGGCTTCAGGGGAAGCAAACAAAGACTGTTGACCTGCTCCAACATGTGTCCACAAACAGTGTCTGAGAAAAATGTCTCAACAAGATCCTCACCAGTTGCAACCAGTCATTCAAAAGCTAATATTCCTTTTATTCTCTGATTGTTCTCTGAAAATGAGCAGAAGTGCGTCAGGGTTTTACTGGAAATGCTTGTGCATGTGCAACATATGACATAATCTGTCCTCTTTATATTTTGTAGCACCGATTTGCTTGAAGGACAACAAATCTCTCCATGCTTAGATCTGTCAGTTTGGGTTAAATTATGTTAAAGGTGACGTTTACATAGTCACAAATATAATCTCAATAAAACATTTCAAACCAAATTATAAACTTGAGAGTTTACAGCAAGTTGAGACGTTATTTGTGATGAACACTAATGTTTTTGAAAATAAAGGTGACACGAGATTGTCGTCTTTTGCTGGTAAAACCCAAATATTATTAACATCTAATCTCCAAATAGGAAATATTGTCCACTCATAAAGCAATTATGCACTGGCAACAAAACAAATTATAATTAACATTTAATCTCTTAATAGAATATTTATTTCTTTTGACAAAGCATTTTACAAAGTGCTATCATTTGCTTAGTATCATTGTTTCCTTGGCCAATTCTAAATCAACTAATTGATGAATTCATGAAGCGTTTGTGTACATTACCTTTTCATAAATTTGCATACTGTTGAACACACATACACACTCACATTATCGTCTCTGCCGTGGACTGAGTCACTGACAGACATGACACTACTGCAGTGGACTGCTCTTGCGGCAGAGCTGATTTGCTGATGTCAGCGTCTGCCTGTTGCGTCTTCGCTTTCCAGTCAATAGTGTGTAGAAGAACGGATTCACACAAGAGTTCCCATAGGTCAGCCCTGTTAGGATGCGATTCACTGTCACCTGCGTCCCCACCGGTACTGTCCGCAGCATGTCGGGCTGGTACAGGGGCAGCAGCTGCCAGATCCAGAAAGGGAGAAAACAGGCCCAAAAGGCCAGAACGATACCCAGGATGAGGAGCAGGACTTTGGGTTTGGGAGCACGGGGAGGACAAGCAGTGCTGCTCGCAGTGGCCCAGGCCGGCCTGGTCTGAGACACCCAGTACAGCCGGCCCAGGGTGGCATAAAGGGCTCCGATGGCCAGCCCGGGACCAAGGATGCTGGTGCAGAACAGCACACTCAGATAGGCTTTGGAGCTCTGCTCGTCCCACGCCGGCACACACAGCTGGCCCTCCTGGTTTTCCCCATCCTCCAGGTGCAGGGTGATCATCATGGGCAGACTCAGAGCCACCGCCAGCCCCCAGGCCAGGCCCACACGCAGCAGGCCGGAGGAGTTGGAGGAGGAGGTGTGCAAGGGGTGAGCCACAGCCCGGTAGCGATCCAGACTCATAGCGGTGAGAGTGAAGATGGAGGCGTGCATGGTTAGGAGGTCCAGGCTCAGGAGGAGGCGGCAGCCCAGCTCACCAAAGGCCCAGCCAGACGCCAGGCTGTCGTACACGATGAAGGGGGCGGTGAAAAGGTAGAGCAGGTCGGCAAGAGCGAGGCTCAGCACCTGGAGGTGAAGAGAGGAGGAGGAGGAAGAAGAAGAGGAGATGGGGGAGGTGGAGGGGGAGGAGGCGTTGGCAAGGCAGAACGGTACAGGCACTCTCATCAGGCAGCAGGTTGGCCCTGCTCCGCGTCTTCTCCTGCTCCTCCTGCGCCTCAGAAGGAGGCCCAACGTGTACAGGTTTCCTGTGATGCCCAGCAAGGAGAGGAGGGAGAGGAGGGAGCAGAAGAGAGCGGTGGATGCCAGGCTGGGTGATGGAGAGAGGGAGGGAGACGGGGAAGGTAAAGAGACATTGGTGGTGATGGGGAAGGGGAATGGGGAGGGTGGCGGCAAAGAACCTGAGAAGTCCATAATGTGGAGTTTTTAAAGTTATAAGAACGTAGCGATGGAGTTTAAAGGTCAATCTGTTTCAAACGCAAAGGAGAAGATGCAGTTTCAGCAGACAGAGATGGAAGAGGAAAGAAAGAAAAGAGAAAAAAAGGTGTAGAGGACAACAAAGGGATCATTTGTTAGTTTTATCACTATTTTCCACTTTGTCATATTTCCTGTAGATTTTATTTATTTTACACAAAGATGATGGAAACTGATGCATTGAGATAACTGCATGTGATTTATGTACAGTATACTTGACACCAGATAAAGTAAATACAGTCGTATAAACATGTAGAAATGAACAATGTCAGCGAAACCAGGGATGGTTTATGTTTGAGCAGGAACCTGTCCTGGCTGCCACAGCCTTCACACTTTTATAGTTTAACAAGGAGCCAAGCGAGGCTGTGTGGGTTCTAGTAAAATAATTGGATTTTCAGAGTAGGAGGGCTCGGTTGGGAGGTTGTAAATCTGGACTCAAACCTCCCAAAGGCTGGTTCCTCCTTAGGTCAGCCGCTGGGCAACAATTAGTCTAAGTGGGACACCAAGATGTTGTAAAAGTAATATGCCTCAAAAGTCAGTTTGTGAGAAAAATTTTCAGAAGTGACGTCAAGTTTTACTTTACCTTTGTGGTTTGTGGTTTATATGCACATCTGTTATTTTATCCTGGCGCTGTCATGTAGTTTAGTCACAAGAAGAAACTGAAAATTGATACATTTAAAATTTGCAGGTCCAGAAGAAGAGACATATGTTGTACTTCATCTTTTCTGACATTGTTCTGTGACACAACTCTAGGTGTTCTGCAGTAATGTAATCTGCAGCGACATCAAAGTGGACACGGGGAGTCTGACAGAAACAGCCTGTATGACACATGGTTGCCCCGGCGGCTCCAGGGTTAAGAGCTCCTGTTGAACTGTGGAGGCGCAGCTGATCCCCCGCGGTGCTGCACGGCCTCCATACGTTACCGACTCCCCTTTAAATAACAGACTTATATTCGTGGAAAGACCCTTTGAAGCCGAGAGTTGGTGCAGAGGAGGATTTTCCTTTATTTAGATTTATTCAGCTGAATTCTTCTAATAATAAACGGTGAGATTGTCTTTGATCCAAATGCGCAAATGTTTTTAACCATGCACTTTTTAACTGGATAAATATTTTTATCAATACGCTACAATACAAGTTAAATAATTCAAATAATGCAAAATTAGTCAAATTTGATAACACACTTTTAGAAATTAAATTAAAGGTCACTTCAAATATTCAGCCAATTTATGGATCCACAAACTTTATTTGCCGAGAGAATATATTTTTATAGTCTACATCATAATTTGTACTTAGATATGTCAAAATATTATAAGCAGCTATTTCAGCCTATGTCAACTCTAATGAAAAATAACTATCTGCATAGGCCTATAAGGTATTTATATAGAACTACAGTCATTAATTCACCATATTTGTTTTTCTTTAACTTACCCTAGAGCAGCGTCATCCCAGATGCTGCTGTAGAAATAATGTTCCATGCGTTTGTCTGGAGAAAAAGTTCCATTTCCATTTTAAAATCTCTCTGTCGCTCATGCGTTGTTGTGAAACCCTCGGACCTCTTCAGGAACAGAATTAGGACGATCTGTTGTCTTCAGCAGGAGACGGTGATGATCTTCCTCCAAACTTTCAGTGATCTGATCTCCGCCTTGTGTCCCGTCCCGTCCTCAGTGCAGCTCTGCCTCCTCGACTCAGTGTTGGATGTGTCTGAGTCAATGGGAGAGGAGTGAGTGTGAGGGGGGGAAAGTGGGTGGGATGGGATGCTGAGGGAGGGGGTCTTATCCCGCATAGGACTGATTATTAATTTTAAGTTGTGTTGGCCTGAGCTGGGGTCCAGGGCACCACCATAGAGTGATTTAAATATACATTTTTTCCATTTGTTCAAAGCACCACAGCAACAGAATATACAACAATATCCTTCCAAATTATAGATCTCACTCTCCAACAATTAATAATGGTAAGAAATGTATTCGAGTAGTCGATTTTGTCCTTTGTGGTGGAACTTCTGAGAATCAACGTGGATGACAAACAGGTTCCATTCTAAAACATCCTCTTTATTGTAATTGCTGTTTTCTCATTTCAGTTGCTTTTGAATTATGACTAAAAATGGCCACAGCTGTGCTGAATTGTGGAACAAGGATTTAAGACACAGATTAAGTTAATATTTGTGTCTGTTTTTATGTATATTTATATTTTAAAGCTGCATTTAGTGGGGTTTACAGTAAGTTTTTATCATGGTGTTTGACAACTCTCTAGTGGTTTCAATACCTTTTTAACCAGACATTAATCTCACACTGCCGAGACTTTCCACAAAAGTCTAGAATCTGACCATAAATGGTATCACAACATCATATCCTGGCAAATAATCAGATGCTATATAAGTCAGAAATGTTCACAGCATTAAGGTTTAAAAGTGACCAATTTATGTGATGGAATCATGAAACCAGGATGTTTTAAAATGTGAAGAGGGAACTAGATTTATTCAGTAATAACACTGTCGATGCTCTTCAAAGGGCTGTAATGATGATTTATATTGTAACAAAAGACTGTGGTGAAGAAGAGAAACTGTAAAATACAAAGCAAAAAGAAAAGACTTCATGGTTTTCTTGTTTTTGCAACTGACTTATAAAATATATTTCTATTTTTAATTGTGTTGCAAAGCAGTTGGCAAAACAAAACTGAATTTATTATACAAAAAGAATGTGAGCATTACACGAGTCACAGTGATAGCAGCACATCGATGAATGTTACAGAGGCGAAGACCTGGGCGGCTCCACCAGCGGCACAATGACAAGTGAGCTGAGGTTTCATTTTTGGCTCTAGAAGTGTTTTTCTTTAATCTACCATCACTTAAACCATTAAAACACAGGGAGTAGGCCAGGGCCACTATATATTGGATTAACGAGTCAAGAATCTTCGGTCAGAAACTATGTCCTGTTGCATTTCACTTGCCTCTCGTGAGTATAGATGTAATTTTATACTGGATACCTGAAAAATGGAAGCACACACGTAAAACTACTTAGTTGATTCTTCCAGTGTAATTGAATTTGGACGTCGAGAGTTTAGAGTCTATGAGCAGAGCAGAGAGACAAACTTCCCGAACAACGTATTTGCTGTCATTTCATGACGCACTGAAATAACTAATGGAGTTCAACCCTGACCCAATGTCAATACCACGTCAGCTCAAGTTCAAACACACTGTGTCTCACACCCCCCGCAAGGGATTCATACAATGACTGTGTTTAAATTATAGAGGAAATTAATTATCCGGAGCACTCGCCCGAATCAACATTTTTCCATGTCAGAGAAAAGTTGATCTGGTAGATCTAATAAGTGGCCGAACTTTAAAGCTCCGACAACATCTCCGAATAAACGGGTCTTTCAGGAGTTATCAAAAGCAACTTACAGTTGCCTGTTATCCACTGAGTTGTTTTTGGCCCGGACGTCGCAGAGCCCACAGCTGCGGTTTGCCAGCTTCAAGAGGCTGAACAACTTGGAAATAATTTAGTTGTGACCTGCCAGTAAAATGTGCAGGCTGGACGCCTCATTCTGGTGGTGGGGAGTCCATGTTGGCTGCTTCATACATGTGCTGGCGTATGTAAGATAGACAGAGACAGGCAGTAAAGATGAGAGAGGGGCTGGGGGGGAATGGGGGGACATACCTATCCCCACGGGGTGTGAGGAATTTGAACAAATACCTGGCACAGGCATGCCAAAATAGGAGCGCGGGGGGAGAGGACCACGGAGGCATGAGAAACCCAGGCTCACTCATAGCAGGAGATGGACAGGTAGAACCACACAGATGGAAACAGAGACGATGGATTTAATGAGGTGATATTATGTGCTCACTAGGTATCACATTTTGATAGAAGTGGGGGGAAAAGGAGCAAGATGATTATCAACTGTAAAATCAGACATTTGGAAATGAATATTGCTCAACCTTAACTTGCAACCATGGAAAAAAAGAAAAGAAAAACAAGCAGGGGGAAAAACAACTGCAAGGTCTGAGCACTGTTCTTGTTTATTTGTCTTTGTCCGAACACATCAATCTCAGTGTGTGCAGACACATTATATAATTGTTTAATTACATTTACCTGAGCTGTGTGGGCTGTGTTCCAGTGCTTTGACCTCCATTTGTTTCTCCTCATTAATTAGTCTGCATCAATCTCAAAATATATGCTAATATGGAAGGTAACTGAAAGATCACTTATGAGCTGCTTTGATTTTCTGTGCTGTCGTTATGAAGAGCAGCTCAACAACAACTGGGTCAGTGATTGTGGTTGTAAATGTCACAACGGCAACAATTTGTGTTTTTAACTATAATATGTTTTTTAGATTTATCACAAGACATGGCCAGTAATGATCTGTTTGACCATATCTATCAATAAGTGTCGCAACCCAAACTTATTTTTACAATGAAAAAATCTGCAGATATTCTTGATAAATTGATTTCCAGTAACTGTCCCCCATTCGTAACTTGTATTACTTATTTGAACAACAGACGGAAAAATCTAGAAGGGCACTCAGAGAGCACTTCCTCCACCAAGACTAACACGTTATCGCACCATGTTAAAGAAAGTAATAAAAATCTCATCACATCCTTCAGTCGATTGTTTTATTCATTGGAGAGAAAAGAGAAAGAAGTTAGTCTCTTGCTCCATCACATTGGAACCCAGCAACAAAACACGACTATATCAAAGATTGGATTATATCTTCCCGATAAACTGACGTATTTCATCATAATAATTGTGTCCTCGCCACATCTCACCACATGTTTTGTGTTATATTCTGGGGTTTCTGCTCCTCAAGTGTGGAGACATCATGGGGCCAAACGGTCCCTGAGATGTCTTTGTGCTACTGGGAGTTCACCAGAGGTTGAGCGTGTAAAAACAAAATGGAGCTTGAGCTCAACACTGGCGCTCCCTTGAAAAAACAGCCATTATTATTCTGTGTATCTTCATCTGTTGATGCAGCGCGGCCAACAGAAGGGGCTGTAACGTGTCTAATCAGTGGGTAGTCACAGCATGACAAACAGCCGCCCCATAAACACTAACAGCTCCCTAACCTTTTCCTGGCCGTCCTTGCTGTCTTTGTTCATTTCATTAATTAGCTTATCCAATCCAGAGCGAGCTGACTGACAAACTGTCCGAGCGCCGCCCGTCCTCCGTATCATAGTCTTGATTAAATGGGCGGACGTTTTCGCGTTTGTGTGACGAATGGTTGTTGGAGCAGGCTGATTCACAACTTGTGATGAGTTATTGATTCCTTCCACCCCCCAGTTCTGCTGCATGTCTGCGTTTACAGATGTGCATCAAACTTCTGCTGTGCCCTCAATGCAAGAGTTTATATAGTGCTCTGAGTACTACCTGGTATTTAGTCCGAGTACACACCATGATTCCCTTATGCATATATTTGTGTTCTCATAATTTACATGTGACATCTGCTTTCTGAAGAAATACCTGTAAAAAGTATGAGTAGTGTAGTTTGGTTCCTAGTTGTTATTTAATAAAATATGGTAAAAACTCACTTGTGGAAATGTGATAAATTCTCATGTTTTGCAGTTTTGACATTCTGCAGATCAAACAATTTGTCAGCCCTTGAAAATACCAACATAGGTCCTGCAGCCATGTCCCTTGACCTGATTCAGCTGCATATTCTTGACTGAGCAGGTCTGTTTGCCTGTGCACACTTTGAGCTTCATATAAAGCTTTTAGTGAGTGCATGCTCTCAACGCCTTTTGTCTGTGTCAAGGATCTTTCTTCTGCGTTGGCCCCCAAATTGCAGACACCACATATTGAACCAATATGCGTTTACCCCTGAATTCACTGAGCATTAAATTTGGACCCTCTGTGACCATGACACAATCTGGAATCCGTTATACGACACTGAGCCTGCAGATTGACGCCTCGTCTGCAGAAATCAGATCAGCCTCTCACAGGCCCACATGCCAAGTTATCCCAGCAGCAGCATCTACCCAGGCCAGCAGGGAGGTGAACTCTTCACCAGCAAGCTGTCTAGTGTTGCCCTTTCAATTACTTCCAGGTAATAGCTAAAACTAAGTGATGAATAAGAGTGTAAAGGGATTTAAATCACACTTTTGCATCATAGAAATCCTTAATTTATACAAAAGTCGTTGCCGTCTCTGTTCAGCATCTCTCAAGTCATAAAACACCTGAAGGTGTGAAGCTCGGCTCCTTTAGTGTCGGCACAGCTGCTCATTTTAAATCCTGGTTTGTCATTAGGTAACCAGGTGTATAGCCTCTGGTCACTGCAGCTAACCACCACTTCAGTTCACTTTCAAGTCCTAAATTGATGCACAGATTTTCTTTTACTGCAGGGTCACTATAGGCTGCAAAAATTGTTTCAACCTGCCCACTGGTGGCTGAGAATCAGTATTGCATCCCCACATACACAATTACACAGTGCTCCATGAGTGTATCTGACTGGACGCCAACTCAAGGGCTTGAACCTGAAGAAACGATGACACCCCCTCCTCACGCTACCTCCCTGCTGCAGATGTTCCCTAATTTATTATAACTATAGTTAATTAAGCACCATTTCCAAAATGACTGCTGCACATGAAAAGATTCATCGTGAATACCACTGCGTGAAAAATAACCCGTGATCGAAGATGAACAGTGGAAACATTGGCTCGATGTTGAGCTGCTAGAAACGAGCGCTGC